CTCCAACCCAATACCTTTTCCACATTACATATTCTATGCCTTCAGTTTCCACTCGCAGCAACGCGGACACGGTGCCATGCCTCATAGGACACGATATCACTGTAATAAACAACAGGCTTACTACCGAAATCGTTTTCAAATTTGATTCGGCTTTCGATTGAAACTGACATTGTTTCTTACTGATTTTAAAAGCCTACTCGGTTTTCCTGCATTAGATCCGAAGCAATTTGAATCGAGAAATACTCGTACAATCAAGTTACAATCAAGCGTTATCAGCGCCTATAGGCAGGCACAAGCCGATATTATTTTTATCCGAAGATAATTTTAGTATTTAAATAAAATTAGTTATGGATTTTATCATGTATATTAACTTATTTTATATTCCCGACGTTTCGTAGTCAGAGTCGTCAGATTATAATTCTAAAATACAAGAACTTTTGTCGGCTGAACGAACTTATAAAAAGGTTAAAAACGACCCAACAAATAACACACTTAAAACAACTAGTGACCTTATAAAGAAACACTCCAAAAAATTAAATCTGGACGTAAAATCGATAATACGAGTACCTACGTGTGCCAAACCACCGAAGTTGTACCAAAATACATAAACCCAAAGCTCCACTACGTCCCATAGATAGTCAAATCGATTCACCTACTTAGAGATTGGCTCAACACTTAGCGAAAATACTCTCACCGCTCAGGGAACATACAAGAGCGCACACAAAGGATTCCTACCATTTTTTCAGCGAGATTAAAGACCTACATCTGGCAGACAATGAAACTATGGTAGGTTTTGATGTGCAGCCTCTGTTCACATTCTTACCTATTGAAGACTGCATCTCGATTGTAACTAGAAGGCTGGAGGAAAACAACATGCCCGTAGAATATACAGTATTACTCAGACACTGCTTTACATCTGGCTAACTATTGTGGAAGGAAGAGTTCTACTAGCAAGTAGATGGTGTGGCAATGGGCCTGTATCTCCCATTGTATCCGATATATTCATAAAGGGCTTTGAGGAGAATGTCCTGCTTACTTCTCCCATAAATACAAGATTCTACAAGCGCACGTAGACGATACTTTCACAATTCTACTTTTAGATAAAGTAACTGCATTTTTAGATCATCTTAACTCCATAAATTCTAAAACTCAGTTTACAATGGAATTAGAGGCAAACAATTCTTTAGCTTTTCTAGATGTGTTAGTAATTCAGAATCCTGACAACACCTTGAGCCACACTGTGTATAGAAAAAAGACCTATACAGATAGATAATATTTAAACGGTGATTGTCATCACCATCCTTCACAGTTAGCTACCGTGGGTAAATCTTTGTTTCAGAGAGCACGAGAGATTTGTGACAGTAAATACCTAGCCACCGAGCTCCAACACGTCAAGCAAGTTTTGTACGACAATAAGCTTAGGTTCCCGCGCCTACGTCACAGTGAACGAGTGAAGCCGGCCATGTCACAGGTATCACTGACAAGATTGGCTACATCTTGAAGCGTGCTTCCATTAAAACATACTTCAAGCCGCCGAAGAAGATTAGTCAGTTTTACCATCAGTCAAGTGTAATATTCCTCTGCAAGATGCAGGAGTATGCAAGCTTGATTGTGTACGTGGTCTCTCTTTTATAGGGCAAACTAAAAGATCAATAACAACCCGCGTTAAAGAACACATAGCTGATGTGAAGAATCGAGGCTCCGGGAAGTCTGCAGTCTGTGAACACGTACAGGATCGCCCCCGTCACTACATTAGATTTGTTAGACCACAAATCCTGGCTAAAGAACACCGATTCCTTCTAAGGATGATTCGCGAGGCTATTGAAATCAAACAACATCCTAATTTCAATAGAGAAGATGGCTGGGTATTACCATCTGCTTGGGATCCTATAATTAATAAAATTAAATCCCAACCCAAGCATACAACTGCAAGACTTCAAGATACTGTAAGTTACTTCAAGATACTGCGTAGATCGGAACAAAAATTAATAATTTTTAATTTAGGTAGCCGTGGTTAACTATGACATTGGGACGTCAAATATCTCAGTCCCCCCCCCCCCCCCCCGTGACTATGGGTGCTGTAAAGTACTAAAATCGTCAGGAATATAAAATAAGTTAATATACGCGATATAACCCGTAAAACTAGTCTTATTTAAATGTTCGCGTAAATATAAGAAATCATAATTTTTAGTAAATTACAATAATCACTTCTTAAACATTTTTATGACATAAAAAGGATCTAATGGCGGTCTGCTGAAGACTTTCGTTCTGATAATTCCAATTTAAACTATTCGATTCTGCGCTAGCAACGGTTTTGAGTGTACGAAATTTCGAACTCAAGAACCTTGAGTTGGAATAAAATTCAATTGATTCAGAACTCAACTCCTGGCCTCTTTAATCTCTCTTTTATGTAGCATATCCTTTATTATATCTTCATACAGAGGACAGTACTAAAGAACGTGATGAATGTTTTCACCGTCCATTCCCCGAGAACAGCCTCTAATCGCTAAATTGGTGGTAGCATTTAGTCAGTGGTAAAGCTACGTAGCAGTGTATAATGGACTTGACCAAGGAATGACCATATAACACAATATTGAAAACGGTAAAGAGCTCCATAATCCTGTTTCGTTTCGTAATGATGTGATGAAAGGTGGAGACCTTTTTTTATGTAAAACGGCATTGTAACTTAGTCCTCATGGGAAATAACGCATCTGTGTTGTCACCTCTGAGTAATAAAATGGAATGCCTAGTTACTTGTAAAAAGCCTGTACTGACTCACTATACTTCGGACCTATAACAGGATTACGCCCACTGGCATCTAGCGGCAGAAATAGGTAAGTGGGTGACTGCACCTAACTGTCTTCTAGGCGGAATAGGCGTCCTGACACCTAGTATAAATACATGTATAAATCCAAATCGGTATTTACACTCATAAATGTTGGTAGTCTACGGGCCCCAACATTCCACCATTAGGTTTTTCTTTAATAAAGTTGACAAACGAGCACACACCACCTGATGGTTAGTGGATGCTGTGGCCCATAGAAATTTATATTTATCCACGATTAAGAATCAAAATGCAGATGCGTTGTCACTCCTGAGGACTATAAATGCCTAGTTTCCAGTAAAAAGCGTCTCCGGTTCTCTACACTCACCATACGAAATACAGCAGCATTAATAATAATAATAATAATAATAATTTATTTCAGACCCACATATAGTCCATAATTATGTTAGTAATTAGCTTAACCTATGTTAGTCTTAAATTATTACACACACATTTTTAATTTCAATTATTTTTATTTTCGACACCCCATGACACCAGGCACATGCAAGTGCATACGCATCCAGTGTCCTAGGATGGGACAATCAAATTTATCAGATATTGCCCTCAGAATGCTATTGGAGCTCCCACGAACCCTGCGCAATAGGGATTAAGCATTTTACTGTGTGCTCATAATGTACTCTTAATTTTATAAAATACCGCGTTCAAAAGTTATGATAGTCGGGCTCGACCCAAGTAGCAATGAATCGAGCCGACACCTCCAGGTTCCTCCAATTACGGTAAAATCACAAATGTTAGCTCCTAGGATTCCAGTTTAATCTGGGCCTACGCTTAGCCTATAGCAGTAAGAAAATACACTTGTTATGATTCATGATTGGTCGTATGACACTTTTTTTAACAATTTATATTCTAACAGATACTAATTTATACGTGGTAGAGCCACGCTGTAGCTATATTATGGTCATGGCACGAGTGGCTCGGCTCAACCAACCACGTTTTTACAAAATACCAGCGTAAAATAGTAGATTAATGCTGCTGTGTTTCGTATGGTGAGTGTAGAGAATTTATCTTAGTCTTCACAGGTGATGACGTGTTTTAATTGAGGAGAAATGAAGATGACTATGGATTACCAATTACCATGTGATGAACTGTGTGCTCATTTGTCAACCTTACTATATAAAAAATTACTCTGACTCTATACCACCTACGGAGTGAAATTCTATAGGTTTTTTTCAATGATATTTTTAGATATAAAACAAGAAAAATTCTTGAAGTGTACGTGCCAGTTATATTGTTATTACTTGTTGTTTTAGTTGTTACTAGTTACACAAATAATCTATATTTATACATAAAAATATTTTTGTTGTTTGTCCCGTATGTGCCCCTATAGCATTCATCCGATTACAAAGAAACTGGTGAGTTGTTGCGTGTGCACCCGCGAAGTTTTTCTGACAAAACAAAGAACTTTGGTTATTTGCTTGTTCCATTGGTTTGTTTGTTGTTCGTATTATATGCCCGCTATGCCATTCATCCGATTAATATATATCTATGTATGTATATTTATTATGTTTTTATTCCTTTCCAGGGAAATTTCCTTGAATTTTCTCTATAAAAACTTACCGATATAATGCGATTTAAACAAGAAAAGAAACCCTAAATTTTATGGCGCCAGTCTTATCAATCAATTTGTTTAATACACTTAAAGTTTCAAATAATATTCTAATACTTTGTCAAAATAAATAAAAGAAAACAATAAAAGCTAAATAACGCAATTATGATAAATTTCCTGCAGTTTATACCTTATTATTATCTATATACATGAACTTTTATGAAATGAAAGCCACATAACATAATCGAAAGAATATATTCCTAAAGAACCCATTTATTCGGAAAGAAATGATAAACGTAAGGAAAAGCCCCGAAAAACAAAGGACTGACATAGATGGCGCTACAATCATCTCATGTAAATGCTAGATGTGAAATACGCATACTGGCGACGGAAAACATTAATGACACATTAGGTACCACTATCGTCCGCCCGCCAAGCTTGGTGATTATTTTGGGCATTAGCATCGTCCCAATAACAATAAAAAATATAATAAAAAACTGCCGCTGCAAAGACTATGGCGAATATCCCCCTACAAAGAGCAGGCCTATGTTCAACAGTTTAATTTTAATAGGCTGTAACGGAAGATTATTATGTGTAGTAGACACTTACCTCATTTCCAACTCGTTAGTGTATCCATTCGATACGAAAGTATCGTCGTAGTCAGGCAGCGAATACTTCGTCCTCCTCATCATCAGCAGCTTCGGCATCAGCTGTAGGAACAGCTTCTTCATCCATGGGGACATGGTGTGCGTTGAGGGCGACCTGATAGAGATGCAGGTTTTTATCACCTCTATATAAATTTTACGATTATAGGAAATAGATGCATTATGGTAGTGAATTTTGGCAATAGAGTGATTGGATTGTCTAGTGGAAGGAAATGTGACTACTGATCACGAGGTCTAGGGTTCGAATCCTGATTCGGGCCAAAAAATAAACTACTGAGTAGTTCTGTCAATAAATTCGTACTAACCGATCGAAGTCAGGAAGTTGGCGGTGTTTCACCCCTGTACCTTGAAAAGCACGTGAAGACGTTGGTCTTGCACCTTAATGTTGTTGAAAGTTAATAAAGGTATCGATTTAAAACCTAATTTACTTGAGAATAAAGTTTAAATCATAATACTGTAATAGTATAACCCGTTGCGCAAAAGGTTAAACGATAGAATAGAATATAATAGAATGATTTTTTATTCAATATTTATTATTACATAATACTTATTGAAAGTCATTTTTTATTTACCACTGGTTCGGAAAATATCTCTGCCCTGGGAAGAACCAGCAAGAAACCCAGCGGGATTTTTTTAAACATATCTCACTTAACAATAAAGTTCTTTATACAATTTTTAAATGAATTTTCATAGAACCAGCATGGTGGCGATCACCTTATTCCCAGGGGTTATTTTCATCCATGTATTCCTTGATATTATAATAACTCTTTTTGTACAGTTTTTCTTTAATAAAACTTTTAAACTTGTTTATTGACAAACTTTGAACATGTTCTGGGATTTTATTGTAAAAGCGTATACATTGCCCCATAAATGAATTACTGATTCTGTGGAGTCTGGTACCTGGCATTACAAGCTTATGTTTGTTTTTAATGTTTAAGGTATGAACATCCTTATTCTTATTAAAGCTATTTATGTTTTTATGTACATACATTACATTTTCATACATATATTGCGATGCCAAAGTTAATATGTTTATGTCTTTAATTTTTCTCTGAGGGTCTCTTTACAATTTAGGTTATAAATCGCCCGTGCGGCTCTCTTTTGCAAATAGATAGCGTTATTACGTCACAAAGTGCTGGTGGAGCTTATATCTGCGTGAAAATCGATGAGCAAATTTCATACAACAAGGCATCTGGCTGGGTTAAATGCTCTAAGCTATATGCAAACATACTCAATTTTACATCTACACGTTAACTTATGCTCCATGATTTATCACAGCTACGTCACAATTTATCGAGTATATGGACAACTCAGTGTTATATGTTGCGTAACATATTATCGTTTAATATACGTGATAGAGCCACGCTGCTGATGTGGTTGTAGCAAGAGTGGTTCAACTAGCGGAGGACCACGTTCTCACAAAATACCATCGTTAAATAGCAATTTAATGCTGCTGTGTTTCGTGTAGTAAGTGTAGTGAACCGGAGACCCTCCTCAATGGGAAGAAGTGATTGCATCTTAGGTCGCAGAGGTGGCAACGCGTCTCCAATTTGATTCTTAATTAATGATAGATGAAGATGTCTATGGATCATTGCATCCACTTACCATCAGGTTGTACCACTACCAACTTTGTGCCCGTTTGTCAACCTTACTTCATAAAAAAAACTTGAAATACTTTTTTTATAAGATAAGGGATAAAAAGCTTGAGTATTGAGCTGCTATTTTACGCTGGTATTCTGTGAGAGCGTGGTCCTTTACCGGTTGAGCCGACCCATTCGTACTACAACTATACTACTAATATAGATACAGCATGGGTCCATCACGTGAAAATATTTAAATTCAAGCATAACCTCGACAAAATTCTATGCACCAGGTGAAACTACTCTTCTCATCTGTCATCATATTAACATGTTGTATAGATTTAGATACCATTTTAATTTCCAAGTTTATATAAATATGTTTCATCCCTGAGAAAATCATTTTATTTCTTACGAGTGAAGCTCGGTCGTTCAGATACTACTTATATATGAGTTACTCTCAAAACTTGCTAATCTATTTGGAAGTAAAGAATAGAAATGAGTAGGGGAGTGGCTCGAACTTTAGGAGTAGTCAGTTTGAATAGCCTATCATGTAGAGGATGTCATGGGGGTCATGGTTGAATAGGGGCTAAAAGTTCTCATTACACTCCTAGGAGGTTAAAATGGCCAAAAACCAAAAAAATTTAAATTCTTATGTCGGCTTTAACTCCATCTCCTCCGGAGGTTCTTACACAGTCTTTATTTCCCGCATATCACTACGTGTGAGTAAATAAGGCAGTATGGAATAAGCTGTTCATTCAAGTTACAAATCATGAAAATACGTACGAAAGTCAATTGTTTTGGATATCAAAAAAATCCTAGTTAGACGTTTATAGTATGGTACTGGTTGTAGATCCAGGTGTATCATTACACCACTACAGCTAGGGTTACCAGATGAAAAAATTAAAAGTCCGGAGAAGAGGCCTGATTTCCATTTAAAAACCCTGAGATTCTATTACAGTTTGAGAAGAAAACCTTACTTAAAAAAGGTATCTTCACATATTAAGTATGATAAAACTGTTTAAGTACCTACTTGGATAAATAAGTTTTGATTTTAATTGTGGAATTATTATCAAAGGAAAATTATTTTTAGTTTGTTTAGCTTTTTATTAAGAGATCTTTTAAAATGTAAGCTGCATTATATTGAAAGTTCTAAAAATCTTGAGATTTCATGAGATTTGCAAAATCCAGCCGCAATTCTGAGAAGAGTCTAAAAATCCTGAAATCTCAGGACAAATCCTGAGATATGGTAACCCTAACTACAGCACCGGTAGATGGTCTTCAGCGACTATCTACTGGCACGATGCCGTACTCAACTTTGCAATATGTTCGTTTCAAACCCATTTAGCCACTGCATCATGTAATGCGACAAAAAAATTATATAGATTTGAATTTTGTGTGATTTGTTCTTTTACTCGATGGTGCATAATAATTCTTAAGCCTTTTACTTGTTGACTGACACGTTTGAACTTGCTCGAGTGAACGTGAAAACATCGAGCAAGCTTTCAAGTGAAGTGAAGATCCACAAATTCGAAGCGGACAAGCGCGGGACGAGGTAGGTCTAAGGAGGAGGGGTGATTATCGAACAAATTTGAGCGACAGTTCCAATTAATGTCAAGATCAGAGATGGATGACTACTACATCCAGACAGGGAACCTACAAATCTGAAGTTAAAATACAAATTTAAAACCGCATTAATCTCGCTCTTCATACCACTTATTTATGTACGAAATACCTTATGGAATTTATAAATTAATTAATTAGCCACACAACCGTTATAGACTATAATTATGAAAAATTAAATTATAACAAACAATTTAATTAATTAATTAATATAATTTTTAATTAATTAATTGAAAGTGAACGCAAGTAAGACGAAAGTTATGGTTTTTGAAAGAGAAGAAAGTAAAACGATATGTGAAATAAGAATAGAAGGGGAGTTGGTAGAGCAAGTAGATGAGTTTGTATATTTGGGATGTGTGTTTAGCAGGGATGGTAGATATGATAAGGATATAAAACGACGAGTGAATGCAGGAAATAGAGTGAATGGGGCTCTACACTCTATTGTGAAAAGTCAGAATGTGTCCAAAAAGGCACGTATGGCAATTCACAATGCTGTGTTAGTACCTACTTTAATGTATGGTAGTGAAAGTTGGGTGTGGCAGAAGAAGCATGAGAGTAGAATAAATGCTGTAGAAATACGGTCATTAAGAAGTATGTTAGGGATGAAGCTGAATGACAGAGTGAGAAATTGTTTAATAAGAGAAGAGTGTGGTTTGCAAGATGATGTTGTGACCAGGATTAAGAAAGGAATGCTTCGGTGGTTTGGCCATGTAGAAAGAATGAATGAGGAAAGAGTGACAAAGCAAATTTATGTTGCAGAGGTGAACGGCATAGTCGGGAAGGGTCGCCCTAGGCGAAAGTTTATCGACCAAATTGGCGATATATTAAAAATGTGCCAAATCAAGAGTACCTTTAACCGACGAGCGTGTATGCGTAGGTATATGGATGTGGAGGAAGCGGGAGAGGTATGTCAGGATCGTGCCAAATGGAAGTCCATAATCTCTGCCTACTCCTCTGGGTGACAGGCGTGAGTGTTTATGTTACGTTATGTATGTTAATTAATTAAACGACTCCATGGCGCAGTGGCGAATTCTGCACGGAACTAGCGGGATGTTTGTCCTTGTACAAATTATGTTTGTAAACTGTCTCCACGATACAAAAGAAAATCCTATTGATGAGGTAAAAAAACATAACACCATAATTGATCTCGGGATAAGAGATGGAGCGAAATTCATTAAAAAAGAATTATAAAATGAATTAATGAGCTTCACAGCCTTAACATTCTAATGAAAAATTATAATATAACAAACAAAATATAACACCGTGTAAAAATGTAAGTAAAAATATACGAACTTCGAATATTTCATTATTTATTGTAAATTTTGTAATACGTAGGGATTTTGCATATTCAGCGCATCCCACTGCCGAGTGAATCTCAACTTAATCATTTTAACCGCAGACCGTTATTATTCTAACAAAATAATAAAATATAATTTTTATAATACTTTTTTTAAAATTAATCTACGAATAATATGGTAACGCCCTACTGTTTTTAGGGAATTCATTTTTTTTTTATTGAATAAGTGTCTTCTAAGTATGTTGTATATATTAATAGCTATTTGTAAGTGGGTAAAACTAAAGCGCGTAAATTTGTAAGCGAAATTTTTAACGGGATTCGGGTGACAAACTAGCACACAGTCCACCTGATGGTAAGTGGTTGCTGTAGTCCATAGACATCTACATCTGTACTCGTTTGCGAATTAAAATGCAGATGCGTAATCACGCATGAGGACTAAGATGGAATGCCTCGTTTCCAGTAAGAAAGGGTCTCCGGTTCTCTACACTCACCATACGAAACACCTTCCCCGGTCGAGCCGACCCATTCGTGCTACAACTATACTACTAATATAGCTGCATCATGGCTCTACCACGTAAAAATTATTATCTACATGCATTA